TGATTATGCGGTGAAAAACATAGATTACCTAAAAAGTAAAAAGCTTCTCTGATATGTCAAGATCAAATATAATTTATTAAAGTTCTTGAACACCATCATTATAATGGGCCACTATAAGACAAATGGATAGCCTAAACCCACATGTTTAACAACTTAATCAACGTAAACTAAATTTTCTTAACAGTGTTGCTTTCTTAATGGGTAAGCATAAGCCAACATACAAATGCTCCACCCAGCTCTGATGTGATCAATGAGTTAATAGCAGCGTTCTAAAAAAACAAATATCGTGCTTTATACTTTCGAGACCTAGGTGTAAAAAAATATTTTCTTATTTTTTATATTATTTAAAATTTTTAATCATTCTAAAAATCATTTAATAATTAAAATAATTCATACCAAACGTCTAAAATTATAAAATAGTATATTTACTTAATAATTTATACAATTAGCCAATTATACAATTTCAAGTTTTTGAAATGCAAAAACTAAACTATTTTTCATAATTTCAACTTTAAACTAGACAAATCTTTCTTAATAAATTTAAAGAAACTTCATACTTACTTTCGAAGCTTCCAACAAAAAAATAAATCTCAAGATTATAATAACATAATGTAGATAGCACAGTATCTTAAATCTAATCTAACTCTTTATAAGTTATTTTTAACTCGTGTACAAATAATCATTTAAAAACATAAAATTAAATGCAAATAAAAGGCTTTTAAAAAAAGAAAAAAAAATTAATAAAGGTGCTCCTAGTCGTGCGTTAAGCGGTTAAACGATCAACTTGACAATTGATCGCTTACTGTCAAGGCAAGACGTTTTGCATGCACTTCGTGCCTGAGCATCGTCTAGAATGCACGTTTTAGAACACTGATTTACAGTGATCTAGCCTTCAATCTAGTCGGCCATGTTGCAAGCGTTAGTTCTTTGATAGGTTAAACCCTCACCAATTACAACTTCAAGAAAGTGGAAAGAGCTTTTGCCCTTTTCTTGGGCCATTTTTTCTTCGTGTTTCCTCAATCAAAAGCAGAACGTAACTCAATTCAAATTCATACATCTATATTTATCAATTTAATTCACCTGCTCTTCCTGTTCCAAAGAACCAATTGGCTCCATAACGTAATTAAAAGCTTCTTTTTCTCTTTGCTTTTTCATTCTCCACTTCGAAGTTTATACGAGTGCTAACAATCATGTGCATTTCCTTCCTCATAACTTCGTACCAAGAATGTCTTCTACTGATATTCCTAAAATGCCTCCCCTTCCACCGCCCCCACCATTCATACCACCTCACCAAAAGAAATACAAACAATCTCCTCTCCATCAGATTGTCTTATCGAAACAATCCTGGAGCCAGCAGAGTTTGACACCAGAAGTGCTGCACAACTGCAGGGGTTGATCAAGAGAGCGACCAATACTCAGACAACCTCGAAAGACAAATCCAATTATATGGTGTGGTGCAATCTTATGTATGATATTCAGCCTCTTCCTAATCTTCTTTGGAATAGCAACTTTAGCAATCTTTCTTGACGTTAAACCAAGAATTCCAGCGTTTGACAC